TGTTTTAGGACATAATCTTGGATTTTACATATAATTTTATTTTGTTTAAAATTTGTTGTCAAAATGTTAATTTCTTAGCTTTTAATCAAAAACTAAGACATTTTGAGAAAAAAGTTATGTATTTTATATTAAATTATTTTTAAAAACTGCATCTTTTCGTGCATGTTTCTCATCAAATTAAGGAATTTAGAGAAGATTTTTAGAAATTTATTTTAATAAAATTTTCTGTCAAAATGTGAACCTTTTGTGTCATTTCTGGTCAAAAACTAAATTTGGCAAGCTGAGAACTAAGAGTATTGTTGGTTTAATGTCATAAAAATCATTCATCTTCATATTTATTTAAAAATCTTAGTGCATTTTTATTAACGTAAGTAACATTTTTTTTCTAACACACTTTCACTTTTCTAAATTCTTTGTATTATATTCCTTATAAACCCCTTTTTATATCAACACCAAACAGACTTGGTTTTATCTAAAAAACAAAACAACACAAAAAAGGTGACATCTGGAATGATCCTCACCCTGATCCGTCTGTTGGTGTAAGAAAATGGATAAATTGTTTTGGAAAAAAAAAAACAACAGAAAATTGTTGTGGGCATGATAAGGGTAGATCTAAAAAAAGTAGGTAAATTGACAGAAATAGCAAAAGGACAAAACAGGGGGAACAAATAGGGACATAGTAGTAATAAAAAGGGATTAAAAATAGTCTTATTAAAAAGAAAGAATGCAAGAGAATAGTCTTAAAGACAATAAAACTACTACATTAAATAAACCTAACACTTGAACAAAAATTCTGACCCCGTCTCTTGTTTTGGCTTCGTTCATTCATCATCTGCATCAGTGAAGCTGAAGAATTCTTTTTACAGACGTTCTGCACAGAACAACAGATGTTAGCACCGCAGACATTTATACAGTGGATTCATCCAAGTCGTCAGAGTAGAACAGTGCATTATAATCACAGAGACATTTAAAAATGACAATGTTTCATCATTTCTGAGCAGATAAAAAAATCTGCTTGTTCATTCTCACTGACACAGCATTCAAAGTGACTCAACATGACAACATGAACATTCATTATCAGTGAAATTGAAGTGTTTTCTTTTACAATTATTGATTTTCCACTACGATAATCCTTTACTGTGACCTTTGACCCCCTGTACCATTCAGCAGACAGTGATTTTAACCCTACTATAATAAAATGAACGATTTTAAAAATGTGTGTCTTAATGGCCTCATAAAAAAGAATTGATTTTGTAAAAAATAAGTTCACAAGACAGTGTCTTCTTTTTCATCATCATTGCATGCTGTTTTCAGTGTGTGTGTCTGTGTGTGTGTCTGTGTGTGTGTCTGTGTGCGACTCCTGCAGGTGCAGGTGTGGATGTCGGTGCAGCTGACAGATTAATTCCTCTTCTGTTGGCTCCTCAATCTGCCCTCTGAGGAGGAAGAGACACAGAGAGAGAAAGGAATTTTTATGTGGACGTCAAGAGGTCAAGAGGTCAAGAGTTCCATCATCAAGAGCTTGGTCAAAGACTCACCTGAATATGAGTTGAACTGAGGTCTGATATCTGATCTTCTCCACGTCAGTGACGGAGCAGCTGTGACTGCGGTCCCACTTGTAGGTGAAGTTCTGTTTGTAAACAAAATACGATAAAGGTGGTTTTTAAAACCCAAGCCAACTCAACACTCGGGTGTTTGACCAGATTATTCCTGGGCTCATGTATTTATACCATTCTGAAAAACTGTCTGGTTTTACTGCTGGATATACAGATCCTTCAGTTCAACTTTAAAAACCCCTGGCACTCAGTGTCTGTCACAAAAACAGAGAGAACTGACCTCTAAGATCAGAGCCACGAACAGGTTGACCCACATGACTGAGGAGGTGAACCACCAACAAACAAAGTAGACCTTGGACCACCTGGATTAAAAGAAACAAAACATCATCATCATCATCATCATCATCATCATCATCATCATCCTTCACACCATTATCAACATAATCAGCCACTGTCATCAGACATTTCTCTTACTCTGTGGTGTATCTGCTGTACGCCTCCATGAACACATGCCAGTTGTTGACGATCATGATGTCGTACAACAAGATGATAGATGACTGAAGAGAGGGGAGAGTTACGTCAGTTACGAGAGTTTAGTACATAAATGAATGGTTCAAAGCAAAATTTGTGTTTTTATTCATTTTTAATTTTTCGCTTAAAAAAAACGTAGAAATAACATTTTTAGTCATTTTTGAGAAACTTTTTGTTTCGGAGATTGGTTCAGGATCTTATTGGTATAGGATTTTACTGTGATCAAAAGATGGCGTACCTAAAAAGTATATTTTTTCTCAATTTTAACAACAGAAATGGACATAGCTAAGTATTTTAAGCCAAATTAGTGCATTTTTAGTCATTTTTGAGAAACTTTTTTTTTCGGAGATTGGTTCAGGAAATTATTGGTATAGGAGTTTACTGTGATCAAAAGATGGCGTACCTAAAAAGTATATTTTTTCTCAATTTTAACAACAGAAATGGACATAGCTAAGTATTTTAAGCCAAATGAGTGCATTTTTAGTCATTTTTGAGAAACTTTTTTTTTCGGAGATTGGTTCAGGAAATTATTGGTATAGGAGTTTACTGTGATCAAAAGATGGCGTACCTAAAAAGTATATTTTTTCTCAATTTTAACAACAGAAATGGACATAGCTAAGTATTTTAAGCCAAATGAGTGCATTTTTAGTCATTTTTGAGAAACTTTTTTTTTCGGAGATTGGTTCAGGAAATTATTGGTATAGGAGTTTACTGTGATCAAAAGATGGCGTACCTAAAAAGTATATTTTTTCTCAATTTTAACAACAGAAATGGACATAGCTAAGTATTTTAAGCCAAATTAGTGCATTTTTAGTCATTTTTGAGAAACTTTTTTTTTCGGAGATTGGTTCAGGAAATTATTGGTATAGGAGTTTACTGTGATCAAAAGATGGCGTACCTAAAAAGTATATTTTTTCTCAATTTTAACAACAGAAATGGACATAGCTAAGTATTTTAAGCCAAATTAGTGCATTTTTAGTCATTTTTGAGAAACTTTTTTTTTCGGAGATTGGTTCAGGAAATTATTGGTATAGGAGTTTACTGTGATCAAAAGATGGCGTACCTAAAAAGTATATTTTTTCTCAATTTTAACAACAGAAATGGACATAGCTAAGTATTTTAAGCCAAATTAGTGCATTTTTAGTCATTTTTGAGAAACTTTTTTTTTCGGAGATTGGTTCAGGAAATTATTGGTATAGGAGTTTACTGTGATCAAAAGATGGCGTACCTAAAAAGTATATTTTTTCTCAATTTTAACAACAGAAATGGACATAGCTAAGTATTTTAAGCCAAATTAGTGCATTTTTAGTCATTTTTGAGAAACTTTTTTTTTCGGAGATTGGTTCAGGAAATTATTGGTATAGGAGTTTACTGTGATCAAAAGATGGCGTACCTAAAAAGTATATTTTTTCTCAATTTTAACAACAGAAATGGACATAGCTAAGTATTTTAAGCCAAATTAGTGCATTTTTAGTCATTTTTGAGAAACTTTTTTTTTCGGAGATTGGTTCAGGAAATTATTGGTATAGGAGTTTACTGTGATCAAAAGATGGCGTACCTAAAAAGTATATTTTTTCTCAATTTTAACAACAGAAATGGACATAGCTAAGTATTTTAAGCCAAATTAGTGCATTTTTAGTCATTTTTGAGAAACTTTTTTTTTCGGAGATTGGTTCAGGAAATTATTGGTATAGGAGTTTACTGTGATCAAAAGATGGCGTACCTAAAAAGTATATTTTTTCTCAATTTTAACAACAGAAATGGACATAGCTAAGTATTTTAAGCCAAATTAGTGCATTTTTAGTCATTTTTGAGAAACTTTTTTTTTCGGAGATTGGTTCAGGAAATTATAGGTATAGGATTT